ACACACACATATATATATTTGCCTCATACCATATGACGTTTGAAATCTGTATAAATTGTGGATGTGTCAATAGAACTAATTAGCATCCAACTTGCCTCATATACTTATTTTGTGTGATAACACTTAAAATCTACTCTTTTAGCAATTTTTGAAATATAAGACCTTTCTTATTAACTACAGTAGATCCCTTGAATTTATTCCTCCTAACTGAAATTTTGTATCCTTTGACCAACATCTCCTCAAACCACCATCTCCCTATTTCTTAAGTCACTTTTAACTAGAGTTTTTGTTGTTGTTGTTACTATTCTAAGCACTCTAAGAATGTGGTGCATTTATGATATACTGAATTTTTACAATAAAGTAACCTGGAGAAAAGAGAATGTTAATAAGAAAATCATAAAAAGGAAGAGGAAAAGGTGCTGTGTCAGGAGTGGTAGAAATAGAAGAAAATCCAGATCTAAGAGGACCCACTAAGAATACTATGCCAAGTAATGCTAATGTGCTATCCAGCACACAGGAGCAACTGAAGTCATGGTCACAGTCCCAGCAGCCAGCGCAAAGTCTGGCACATAGTAGCACTTAAGGAAAGCCTGAACTATTTGTTGGGTAACCTACTTTTTACATGAGAATTTTATCAAATATATTCTTTAAACATGAGTCAATATCTCAAAATCTGATATTCTCTCTGAATTTTAAAAATGCCTCATGTTCTAAATTTACTTACCCCTCCTACTAACTTAACTCCTTTCCTAATGAGAAAACCCTTCCTTCAGAGAATCAGAGTTAAGAACAATGTTAGGAAGAAGTCTAATTGAACTGGTTCACACTACAGTATGCCTGAAAGTGCTTTAATCTATTTAGAGCAATTAGAAATTTTTTTTCATTTTAGAAAATTACCTAGGACAGTTGTGATATAATGGATGACTAAAATCATTGAGGCAGTGTGAGGCACTGTAATTAAGGATAAAGAGGCAAATACATGAATTAGTCTTACAAATTCTGGGAATCTGTTCTTAAATTCAACTTCTGTAAGTAATTCCTATATTCACAGCTTT